GAGAACACTTTATTCACATGTGGCAGTGGATCCATAAGCATCACTTGTGAACGAACTCCAACATATTGTTCATTAAGTCCCGTAAGAAATCTGATGACATGATCTCTTTCACGATAGTGGCGCATCTTCAATCCTGCTCCACAGGTACAAGGTGGAATACACTCACAGACTGGGAGAGGCTTCAAATTCTCCAATTCATCCCACATTTAGTTAAGCCATATGTATATATAGAGAACTCCATAAAGAAGATCAACAGAAGAAACTAATCTGTAACTTCCTAACAAACTTTCTAACTACTAAGAATTAGTTACAACTTCATCTGTCATGATTAGTGCTCTGTGCATGTATCAAAGACGTTGCATGAGCAGTATCTTAAGGAGATGAGATAGTGGGTCGTATGCTTTCTCGTTCTCGAACAAGATGGGCCTGAATCCAGTGGGCTTGTTCATTGTCATGTGTTAACCCTTGAACTAAAAAAGTTATGGACTTCTGAAGTTTTATGGTAAAAATTAATCATCACACTCAAATACAGGATCTTAATACTCGAGTAGAAACTTATGACACATGATTTACTCAAATATATTGGTTACGTACTAAAGTATAAGTGCTAGTAAATGGCCAAACAGAAATATATTAATATTATGTTTAAGAAAAATGTCACATTTTTAAAGAAAAAAATATGTATTATTTTAAAGGATATAAAGTTTTGTAATTTTAAGTGAAAGAAAGAGATAAATCATAGAAGAGAGAATGAGTGAAAAAAATTTAAATATGTAAATCTCACCTCTTTGTGAGAATGAAAGAATATGAAGTGTGTCATTAAAAATGAGACACTTTTTTTTTTCCTTTTTTAAATAGTTTAAAACCCGAGACATAATGATATTTTTTAATTTAATTACGTACACAACGTTAAAAAAAAAAAAACATGTTCAACTCTGCAAACGAAAATTGGATCCCACAAATCTAGGACCCATCATCTCAAACTGGATGTTTTTGTTTTATGTCTCTTCCATTTTCAAATTTGTTTTTGCTTTTTGTTGACTTCCCGACACTCTTTCCGGAAAGTATCAATTTTTTAAATGAAGCGGTATTAGAGTTTGATGCTTCTGTTGCTTTCTCTCCCTGACAAGCTTCTTGTTTCTTTTTTGTTTTTTTTTGGTCAAACTGCAACGAAATGGTATCAATTATACATTGCATAAACTAGAAATATTATGATTAATTAAAATAAAATAAGCTAAAATTAAAATAAATGAATTAAAATAACAAGTAATAAAAAATAAGAAAAAATTAATAAAAAATAAGATTATTTAACAAAATAAAAAAATAAATCTAATTAACAAAATTAAATGAAAAAAACAGAAAAATAAAATTATAATCCAAAGTATCGATTAATTATTCAAGATATTGTGTAGCGATCACTAATTACAGACTGAGGAGGAATAAGAGAAACTAAAGAGGAGAGAATAGAGATATCAGTGCTACGAGAGAATTTTGGAATTTTTCAGTCTACTTTCATTTTTCACACCAAAAAACCCATATACCCGCAAGGGTGAGTTACAACAAATTTAAAAGAAATGGAAACAGATAATATGATTACAGGAATCAAACAAAGAGGCAAAATAATCTAGAGTGCCTACTACTACATGAAAAAATAACGGAAAGATGCTATAACAAATATAGCATAGCAAACATGCATCCGGAAATAATAATGCTCGAGCTCTATTTTAGAACTGGTTGCTACATGATGACACACTCCCTGCACAGGCTTGAATTTTTCTGTTTGCTACTTTTAGAGATAGAATTGTCTCTATTTCCTCTTTGCTAAGTTTGATAGAGCTAGGTTGATCAACCTGCAGCTCATCCTATTTAGGTGAACTTCTTAACTCAATGGTTTCAATGTGGACCTTAGAGGTGTCAAAACGGGTTGACACGACACGAATTCGACACGACACGAATACATCAACACTAACACGACACTAATTTTTATTCGTGTCAAAATCTTCGACACTGACACGACACGAATTTTTTGCGGGTTGACACGACACGACACGAATAACACACGCAAAATAGGGGTCAAAACGGTAATTGACAAAAAAATTTAAAAAAAATGGATCGAAATTAAAAAAAAATAAAAAATTAATAATAAAAAATTAAAAATAAAATAATTTTAAAAAAATACGGGTCGACACGAACACGAATATATCAACACGAACACGACACGAATTTTTTACGTGTCATTTTTCTCAACACGAACACGACACGATTTTTTTTGCGGGTCAACCCGAACACGAATTTTCGTGTCGTGTCGCGAGTCGACCCGCGTGTCAAAACCTATATTGACACCCCTAGTCGACCTCATCATCAAACTTCATTAGCTTGTTCAATGTTGGAGCATATATATGTAGCTTTGAATTAAAATTTCTATCTCCGAGGATGACTTGTTTTGGGATGCAGTGTGCATGAGAGTTCCTCAAAAGAGAGAAGCACAAAATATAATTAAGTGACCAGATAGACGCGGAGAAGATGAGAATATCTCAATGCCATAACAATCTGACGTGGCTACTGCTGTAATACTAAAAATTTTCTACACTTTCTAGGCATTTTGACCTTTATAACCCTTTATTAATAATTAATTATCAAATTGACCTTCGTTATAAACTATTTCAAAAATTTAATCTCTACACTCCTCCCTACCCGGGTATTTTTTGAAATTTTTTGCTTACCCAGGTAGGGAGGGGTGTACCCGGGTATTTTTCTTGGCACCTGAGAAATTGCTTGAATTATTTACCCGAATATGGAGGGGTGTAACCGGGTAAATTTACATAAAGTGGTTGGGATATACCTTTGGCGTTATTATGCCAATTGCCGAGGCATTCAGTGTGTAATCTTTTGTAAATAATTCAAGCAATGAGGGCAGCAGCAGCCACAGCAAAGGCCACCACCCTAAGGAAACTCACTGCAGTCTTGCTGATGAGAGGGGAAGGATTCAGACAAACATACCAGGGAGCTCTGGCTATAAATCTTTCAATATCAGATGAAGCCAAATTGTTCAGCCAAGCTCCCTCTCTTCTGTCACAACCAAGGCATTTAATAAAGACCACTTTGAATGTTTACCAGAACAAGAATTTAACTCATTAAAAATTCTAACATCCAAAGGTTGTGTGTCTTATGCTATGTAAGCTAGTTCCCCTGGAACTCTATGTTTACCTATTTAGTGAGTGTCTTTTGTTTCTGTGTGCCTTACTATAAGCGTTCCATGAATGCACCTACGAACGTTGTACCCTTATCTTCCACTGGATTAGAATAAAAAGCATTTGCTTATTTCGACTCACATCTCAATCTAAGAAAGCCATTAGAAAGAATCCATAGTGTGAGATAAGAATTCCAAATCTTTCATGAACATTTGTAAGAAAGTTACTCTTTGCAGTCATATTTTCGACAGAGACCTTTGTTTCTATAGAACAAATAAGCTTAGAAAGCCACATCTTATTTTGCACTCGCTTGAGAGTAGCTACAACATCTTGTATATGAAGTAATTGTATTTCATTATCTGATACATTCGTGTTATGCAAATATAAAATATTAAAGTTATAAGTGGCAGTCCAAAAAGGTTGAGGTCATGGACAAACAATGGTCAAACAATTATCACCAAGAAATAAAAATAAAAAATGGTGATCTTACAATTTTATCTAGATCTGAGTGAGTTAATTATGAACGAAGAGGATTCACAAAGGAAGCAATCTACCCAGGAGGAAAAGATCCACTCCTTCAATGTTCAAAATCTAAACCAGAAACACTCCTTCAATAACGCCAAAGCCAACCACTTTATGTAGATTTACTCGGGTACACCCATAATTCAAACAATTTTTCAGGTGCCAAGAAAAATATTCGGGTACACCCCTCCCTATCCGGGTAGGTAAAAAATTTCAAAAAATACTCGGGTAGGGAGGGGTGTACCCGGTAGGCTTGGTGGTCAACGGTCAAACAGGAGCAGATTGATGTTATGTTTTTTGAGGGGGTTAAATTTTTGAAGTAATTTATAACGAAGATCAATTTGATAATTAATTATTAATAAAAAGTTAAAAGGGTAAAAAAGCCACACTTTCAACCTAACTTTTTTTTAGAAAAATTAAAAAATTAAAAATTCTACGCGGAACGTGTTCTTTGGTACTGACAACACCGACTCTGGCCGACCAAATCGCCACATCAGATCCACCTGCAACTGTCTCTCCCACGTTGCCACATGTCCCCCGGAGCAGTTGCCGTGTGTCCCTCAAACGGTTAGTTTTCTTCTCCCAACCGTTAACACGTAATGACTTCGAAGTTTCACATGCTATCTAATTTAGAGTAAGACCTAGTCCTACTAAAAAGTATGATTTAAAAATAAATAAATTAAAATGAACTAATTTAGTTAAAATTGTGATTCTTCTCAAATTCAAAAAGATTTGCATTATCTCTCAATAAGATTAAAATGGATTCGCTTTAAATTTATAAGCATCAAATGATTAATTTTTTTTATGAGAGACTAAAGGAAATATCATGTTTTTTTTTGCTAGGACTCTATATTTTATTTTTAAAAATAATAAAGGATGACGATAATTTTATTTTATTCTTTTAATATAAAGTCCGCTAATTTATTTTGACCCAATTTTTTTTTTTAATTTCAATTTAAAGATCAATTTCTGGCTTCTCCTTTGGCAGAAAAAGAGCATTCTCTCCAAACAAGAATAGAAAATCTCACAAATCTAGGGCATATCATCTCCAACAGGTTGTTTTTGTTTTATGTCTTTTCCATTTTCAAATTTGTTTCCTCTTTTTGTTGATTTCCTCCAACAATCCCTCTTTCCATGGAGCCACAATCTTGTTATTTCCCTTAGGTGTTCACAATCGCTAATAAATAGTCCTTGGATTTTGAGCATCGCAGACTGCAGCAAAAGGAATTTTTTTTCTTTTTTTCCTTTCTTTCTCCGAGATTCTCGGGTAAGTTTTCACTTACCAAAATGGCATTAGTGCTTGTGGATAATGGTTACACTGGGACACTGGGACAGAAAAGGGTCGTGGTTTCCAACAATGGGGAAACTTCTCCTCCATTGACTCCGTTGAAGAGAATGTTTAGTGGCAGAATCACTCTGAACTTTGAAAGCTCTTCCCTCGAAACCCTTCATCAAGACATTCTGGTAATTATGGAAATCTGAAGCTTTTTTTTTTTTTGTCTTTCTTTTACTTTGTGAATTTCAAGTTTTATTGTTAATGAGTTTTTATTTCTGATTGTGAAATGGGTATGTGTTCTGAATGGCAGATAAAGGTGTTGTGTGGTGTGGACCATGAAGATTTGAAGCAGCTTTTTCATGTCTCCAAAACGATTAGAGAAGCAGTACGTATTAATGCAGGAGCATTGTTCAGTTTGGTTAACTAGTGTTTCAATTGATTAATCTAATTATTAATTTTTGGTTTTTTCCTATTGTAGACTCTGATTGCGAAGCAGCATTTTGAGTATCAATTTTTTGCTTTTCCTATTCTATTTGAAGCTCCAAATGCACCATTGAGGAAATACAACAAGTCAAGGTTGAACGGGAGAAAGCTGGCTGATATCGCGGTAACCTTGTTTGCTTCAATGGACGAAGAACAGCAAGCCAAGGAAGGAAGAAAGGAAGAAAGGAAGGGCAACTGATGATAGAATATGATAGGATAAGAAGAGAAGAGGATTTTCAATAGATTGTACGTATAGATTAGAGAGGGAGTTGAGATCTATTAATGGACGTGATTGGCTTATTTCACACGTTAAGAAATCTTCACAAGCCATTTCTCCAAATCTTTCATTGAAGACTCATTTGGCTTGTCTGTAATCCCTCTGTACATGTATAGATATAGGGAAATAGAAAAGGGAGATTCTAGGGATTTTGTTCGGAGGGAAATCTTTGCCCTTCTATTCTGTGATAACTTTTATGATATCTTAATAAAATGGAAGTTCTCATTTTTTCTTGAATATTTTATTTTACATCTCACCTTCCATATCTTGCTGTAATAGATTCATTATACTTTGGTGGATTTTTTTGGAAGTTTTACAGAATGTTTATAATTATTGTTGTAACTGATTCATTATGCTTTGGAGGAGGTTTTTGGAAGATTTACAGAATGTTTGTAATTAGGCAGTATTTCCTGTCAATTGAAAACAAATTCATTAATCATTACTGAGCTAACAATGCCTAATAGTTCATTTGGCTTGTTTTTAAAACGTTTGTTGATAGGGGAAAAAAAGATAGATTCTGAGAATTATGTCCGATTGGCAAAATGAAAATATAGATGGGAAGATAATCTTTGCCCTTTTACTCCGATAAATTTAAGTGGTGTATAGTTTGATATTGCTTCCATTTTATGCTATTTTGGTAAAATGAAGAAAGTATCAATTTTTTTCGAATATTTTATTTTACTTTTCTCTCTTCATGACTTTTAATAGATTCATTTAACTTTAGTGGAGGTCCTTGGAAGATTCACACAAATATAGAATGTGCTAACAATGCCTAATTGTTCATTTAGCATCTTTCTCTACATTAATTGATAGGCAAAGAAAAAAGATTTTGTTTGAGGGCAATCTTTCTGTTCTGCATATATTTTACGCCATCTTAATAAGATGAGGAAAGTATTTTTGCCTATCTCCCTTCATATATTGTACAAGATTCATCTTCCTTTGGTGGAGGTCTTTGGAAGATTCACAAAATATTTTTCCTTAATAAAGAATTCATTATTCTAGTGCTAACAATGCCCAAGAGTTCATTTGGAAGGTTTTTAATCTTTTTGTATATCTATAGATAGGCAACGAGAAAAGATAGATTATGATGATTTTGTCTTAAGGGATCTTTGTCATTCTAAGATAAATCTGAGTGTGAACAGTTGATACTGCATATACTTTATGCTATCTTAATAAAAATGGGAAAGTTCCATTTTTTTCTGAATATTTTATTTTATCTTTCTTCCTTCACATCTTGTTGGAATTTACTTATTTTGTTTTAGTGGAGGTTTTTGGAAGATTCGCGAAATGTTAATAACTTTGTAGTAATTCCTCTTAATAGAAAATTCATTATCCCAGTTCTAATAAGACTTAATAGTTCACATAATGTACATGCTTTGTGCTATCTTGATAAGATGAGAAAAATATTTTACCTTTCGTCGCTTTGTATCTTATAGCAACTCTTAACAGATAATTCGTTATCCCAATGCTAATAAAAATATAAATTTATCTTTTAATTGTTGGAAATCGACACATAAATCGAGAAAATAAAAAAGAAAAAAAAGAAAGAAAAAGAAAATTGATAAAGTAATTTATTTTGATTCACCCAATATAGTTTATATCTAACTTGTCTGTATTATATGCACATCACCATCACTTATTATAACTCAATTGTTTTATAAGGAAATATAAATAAGATGACCTCAGTTGACTTTCTATTGATTCCGTCAATAAAAATTCTTATCTAAATACAAAATATATTAATCATATTAAAAACAAATATTATGTTTACCTTTTTCACTTCATATCTTGTTACGATGGATTCATTTTCCTTTGGTGGAGATCCTTGAAGAATCACACAAAGTTTAAACTATTGGTATTTTCTTCTATGTTTGTTTGTGTGATATTAATAAAAAAGGGGAAAATTCACCAATGTGCCTGTGGTTTGTTTCAGAATCACCTATGCCCATGTGATTTTTTTTTGTCACATATGCCTATGTGGTTTGCAAAAGGGTATGTTTTTTTATCACATATGCCGCTGTGGTTTTTTATTTTTTACAAAGTAAATGGATATATGTGATAGAAAAAAAATCACAGGAACATAGGTAATTTTGAAACAAACCACAAGGATATTGGTCAACTTTTTCCTAAAAAAAAAAGGAGCGAGAACGCAGAACCCAAAGAACATGTGGGCTTTGGATCGAAGAAGCCCAAAAATAGCTCGTCCTATCTTAAGAGTGATTATAAAACGCATCTGGCTCAGGTGAGATTTTGTTTTGGCACATGTTACTGCAGCTTTTTTATGTCCTTGCGAAGCGACAATGGCTTCCACAAAACGGCAACTCCCAGAACACGAAGGCGAAGGAATCTGATTCTGAATGTGATGCATCCGTTTCCTCTACGAGGGTTCTTCTCAATCCTGCCAACTCTGATTTGGGTATTCAATTTTCCATCATTACCTTGTTTATCCACTTTTGTTTACCTTATCCATAAAACTAAAATATAAAAATGATTTTTTTTTTCAAAGCCCAGCATGCTAAAGATGTAAAATAGTTTTTACATATGTTTGTACATTTACTTTTTGATGAAAGTGATAGCTTTTTTGATGATGATGCTTAATTGCATCAGCAAAATAGTTTTTATCGAGAGATTTTACACATCATCTACTTAGGCTCTTTTATTTGATAGTTTTGTCAAATGCAACCTGAAGGGGAGTTTGGTAAATTAAAAGCTGGTTCAGAGCTATTTTAGTTGAAAGCAGTTTATAAGTCTCTGTAAATTTTAATTTCGAGTTGGTTTCAAATCACCTAAGCATGGACACATCGGACACAACATGACACAGACTTGGACATATTGTATTTGTGACATAACAAGTTTGAGGTATCCAATTACTTACAAGCTGTCTATATATTTGTCTTTGTCAAAATAGTTTTGAGTTAAATATTTTATTATATAAGAATTGATTTTATAAATTTTGAATGATTATTAAACTTGGAAGACTTTAGAATCAATTTCATTGTTTTTAACTATATGATTTTTGCAGGAAAGGACGCGTCATGGGTTCAGAGGTTTTGCTACCTTCAAGTCCTTCTTCTACTCAAGGTAACAAATATTACTTCATTGAATGCATATATATATATATATATATATATATATATATAAACTATTATAAGAATTGTCTTTGAAGGTAGAACTCAGTACTCGATATGCACTTGCCTTGAAATATGCATGATTATAGTGATTTCTTTCGTAAAATATGCAAGGTTGAAAACTTATAATTAATACTAATTATGTCATTTATTATTTTCATTCAAGTTGAAAACTTCTAAATTTCAGTTTCAATTTCACAATTAATTTCCAAATTTCAGTTTCAATTTCACAATACTTTCCCTTCCTCCTCGAGAGATAGCTTCGAAGGTTTACCTCAATAGTTCGTGAGTTTGTGCCTTGATGCAAAGGCTCAAGCGTGAGGAACAACATCATGTCACATCTGCGCCATTAAAGAGGTAAATGATAAAACCATGATGATCCATATACATCCAAATCACAATTGTCGCATACGCTTCCGCAGATGCAATCATGATGATAAAATTATTTTGATTTCAAATTATCCTCATAAATGATAATTATTATGATTGTTGCAATCTAGATTAATAATTAAGTCAGCTATTTGGATGATTTAAATCTAGAAAAATAATTAGAGAAAATTTTCTAAGAGAATTCTTTTATTTTGCGAGTAATTTGTGGGTTTTCTGAAATGGTCATGGAATAACACACGCTGCATACAACGTTCATGTATCATGATTGTTTGGAGCACACGCTGACGTAAAGTGACAGGATTTCAGGACCTTAATGCTTTCAAAATTCAGATAAGCTAAGTGATGCATGTTCATCGGCGCTCTTGCTTACATAGTTTTTGAAATCAAACAAAGGATACTCTCAATTAAATAATTCTTGGAAATTGGAAAATATTGCTTATGTTGAATGGAAGGAGATTTACAATAAAAAATAAAAAATTAAGAAATTAATTTAACTTTCAAGCGCAATATAGGACCATTAATAAAATAATTATGTGAAGTCCCATCGAATAAGCATGATTGGATTTTATTAGATTGGACCTAAATAATTATGGGAGGAGATTTAAATTAAGAAATTAATTTAACCTCCAGGCGCATTGTGGGCCTATCAATAAAATAATCATGTGAGGCCCCGACGGATAAGCATGATTGAATTTTATTGGGCCTTAATAATTTCAAAATTTTAATAAAGTATTTTACGGCCCATCGTCGATAATACTAAGTTATTAAAGATAATTTTGAAATTAAACAATGAATTCGACTGGGCTTATGAAAATTCTCAAACAAAAATGTTGAATGGGTGAAGGTTTTAAAAATTAATTAATTTTAAAACCTGCGGGCTCTATTTGAGGGTTTATTAGTGAAATGGTTATCGCTGAAGCCCCAACGGATAAGGATAATCAGATTTCACTAGATTAAATCTTAATAATTTCAAAATTTTAGTAAAATATTGATAAAAAAAATAGGGATATAATATAAGTCAGTTTTGTTGTGTTGAATCAATTAGGCGCTTCTACAAAGTTCAAAATTCTGAAACGAAAGTCTCTCCCTTCTCCTTTCTTCGGCGCCAATGATTTCTGAAACGGACGGTTCTCTTGTGGATAATGGTTACACCGGGACTAAAGTAAAATTTTATTTATGAATCAAAACGGATATTTGCTATTAAATTTTTCGTGGATAATGGTTACACCGGTACTAAAGTAAAATTTTATTTATGAATCAAAACGGATATTTGCTATTAAATTTTTCGTTGATTGCCCTCATTACATCAACGGCACGTCAGTCTTTAATTTTATTTATTATTTTTTCAAACTTTTTTTTTGATAAAAAAATAGGGATATAATATAAGTGAGTTTTGTTGTGTTA